GAATTGGTACACGACCTCGACCGAATTTAATATGTTCTAAATTAGAGCTTCAAAAAAAAAAAACGTACACATTTTGGAAGTACGAAGTATATAGTGTGGAAGACTGAGACATGTACTATTTGTATACCACACATGCACAGAAAACATACTCTCAATTACGTTTTAACAACGACCCACCTTTGTTTGTTGGGATAGTACAGGTGTGTTGTGATATGTTAGGAGCGGAAAAAGACAGAAATTTGTATTTGAACAGTACATTTATAGTCACAGAGGGGGAAAAGAACAGCAGTGACACATGGGTATAACACTGAATATTAGAAGGAAAACAAAAATACAGAGTAAATAAGAATGAAGCAAGACAGAAAACGTTATTTGGAAAGTTTAATAAATACTACTGCTTGATTCATGGTTAAATCTGTAAAGAGGCAGATCTGAGAATATTGTATTAGAGAACTAGGCTTCTTGAGAAAGTATTCCAATATGAAGGATATATACAGTGCAAGATACATCTAGAAACTAACAGTGTAAAAGCGGCATCTGTTAGAAAGGAAGGTAATAATCATCCTTAATAAATTTCCCATGAGTTGTATGACAATTAATTATTGAACGTTGTAGTCTAGCATTAATATTTTCTTGTCTAATATTCTAAATAAAAATGTTCTAGTTTTCACCTTAAAGTTTCTTTCTGGCCTTTCTCAAAGTTTTCACCTTACACATTCTTTTCATGAGCAACATAACCCATGGATTCTTGTCTGTTTCTACAAAGTTTCTCATTTAAAGGGTACGACCTCTTTTCGCACATCCAGTTGTTTCACCTTTCAGTCTTATTAAGTTGAATTGAAATATAAACATCTATAAACAGTTATATTCTAAAATAATTATTTAATTATATTCATAATGAAAGTTAACTATCATAAATATAATGGTAATTTTATTGAGAATCTGTGGAAGCTATGGATCAAGGATGAGGTTCTGTGAGAGTTATGGATCAAGGTTGAAGTTCTGTGGAAGTTATGGATCAAGGTTGAGGTTCTGTAGGAGTTGTGGATCAAGGTTGAAGTTCTGTGGAAGTTAAGGATCAAGATTGAGGTTCTGCGAGAGTTGTGGATCAAGGTTGAGGTTCTGTGGAAGTTATGGATCAAGGTTGAAGTTCTGTGGAAGTAATGTATCAAGACTGAGGTTCTGTTGGAGTTATGGATCAAGGTTGAAGTTCTGTGGAAGTTATGGATCAAGGTTGAAGTTCTGTGGAAGTTATGGATCAAGATTGAGGTTCTGTGAGAGTTATGGATCAAGATTGAGGTTCTGTGAGAGTTATGGATCAAGGTTGAGGTTCTGTGAGAGTTATGGATCAAGATTGGGGTTTTGTTGGAGATATGCATCAAGGGAGCGATGCAGTCTGTTACCCACAACTTAGGAATACTAATTAGTAGGTTATTTTCAATAATCACTTTAAGAAGGATGATTATTAATTGGTTTTCATTGTCAACATGGTCATTAACCATCTATTAGTGGGCACATCGCAGATACTCATAAAAAACATGAGAAGTTTGGTCAATGTATAGCTTACCTGCTCTTGAAATCTAGTCAACATACGGAGCAGAGTTCATACCCCACCCACTCACATAACGTGGAGCTGTGTGTAATAGAAAAATGTAAATGATCTATTTTCATACAATATATATAGGACATAACACATTAGATACAGGGAATGTGGTTGGTAACAATTTCAGAAAATATGATACAGGGAGTGTGATTAGTTAGTGATAATTATTTCAGGAAATGTGATACAGGGAGTGTGGTTGGTTAGTGATAATTATTTCAGGAAATATGATACAGGGAGTGTGATTGGTTAGTGATAATTATTTCAGGAAATATGATACTGGGAGTGTGATTGGTTAGTGATAATTATTTCAGGAAATATTTTTCTGGCCGTTCAAAATGTAGAAAATGTAGATTTTAATACAGACCAACATGGTTGTTACCACATTTAAAACATCACTATACAAATGAAGAAATACAACACAATGCTATTAGCAATGTCCGAGATTAATGTCGGTGATTTTATACCATTCATGGGATTATTAAAGCTTTCATTGTCGTAATTAGAGTTGAGGGACGAGTTCAAGTAGATTTAGTCGACTCGGAAGAAAGAGATCGAAGTTTCTAATGGGTTTTATCTTATAATTTAGGAAAAAATATACTTCATTCATTGCCTAATTTATTTACCCATTGATTAGGTCAGGATAATTCCTTTCTATACCTCCAAGAAAGAACATACGTTATTTATTGTAATAAATAACTCATGTTCTTTCTTGGAAGTATAAAAAGGAATTATCTTGACCTAATCAATGGTTAAATAAATTATTTAATAAATAACGTATGTTCTTTCCTGGAGGTATAAAAAGGAATTATCCTGACCTAATCAATGGTTAAATAAATTATGTAATAAATAACGTATGTTCTTTCTTGGAGGTATACATAGGAATTATCCTGACCTAATCAATGGTTAAATAAATTATGTAATAAATAACGTATGTTCTTTCTTGGAGGTATAAATAGGAATTATCCTGACCTAATCAATGGGTATAATTTATTTAACCATTGATTAGGTCAAGATAATTCCTTTTTATACTTCCAAGAAAGAACATGAGTTATTTATTACATAATTTATTTAACCATTGATTAGGTCAAGATGAAAATTATCTTTAACTGTAGATGTTTATCTCAGAATACTCGTAACGAGTCCTTTAATTTGTTTAGATGCCCTTGATCTCAAATCCATAATGATTTAATTAAGATGTTTTTTAAAAAACCTGCATTCATGTGTGATTTGAATAATTTTTGTTAGGCCTCAAAATAATGATAGTTTAGTTAGAAAATAAAATGATCGTATATTTAGGTTTTGTGAAATGAAGTCTACAATTTCAATGTTATAGTTAATAACATGTCAATATCAGCCCTTCTAAGTAAGAGAGATATCAATAGTTTGTTTTTAAGTGTTCATCACAACTTATATCTCGGTGAGTGATATGGTTAAATCTTCCCAGCATAAAAGTTTAGGTCAGGTATTAAATGTGATATGTATTGAGCTGAGTGTTGAAATATTTCTGGTTTTCGCTCTTTAGGTTCTGATGTTTTTTGATACAATTCCTTTATGACTTAAATATTTTTATTCTGAAAATTTAATACTTGGACATTTTTTTTTGTTTTTTATAAAGGTGGATTTAATTTCTATGCTTTCAGAGGTGTTCTGTATTACATTTATTATTGCTTGTTTATTGCTAAGTACAAAGCTAAACAATGAGCTATCTATGCTGTGGCCACCAAGAGTATCGAAATCCAATTTTTAGCGTTATAAGCCACCATATTTACCGCTGAGTCACTATGGGGGCAAATATTACTTACATTTCCGATTTTTAGTTTAGTTTCGCAAAATCCCAGTGTCTCAGCAATAATTCTGAGGGCTTATAAGGCTAAAAATTGGGTTTCGATACTCGCGATGAGCAGAGCAGGGATATCCCATCGTGTAGCTTTGCGTTTAACAAACAAAAGAAGCAAGTAGTTCGCGACTGTGTTGCCATCTAGTAATTACATATTTAACTATATTATTATTATTATTGTGTTTTTTTTCCCATTTATTCAATTTATAGTTATTATTATATTATTCCTTATTATTTGTTTTTTTAGACCTACTTCCCTTCATGGTAATTCCTTTAGAAATAGTTCTATTCGATGTTTTTATTTTTGTTGTAGTTTTGATGTCAGTCCTTCCAAGATTTTTCATATTGTGACAGGAGTTGTCGTTATATTTGTTTGTTTGTTTGTAATTAAGCACAAAGCTACACAATGGGCTATCTGTGCTCTGCCCACC